TTCTTGGCTTCCTCCTTCTTGACTTGCTCGATGAGAGAGGAGTGAGCCTTTTCAAGCCTAGAGTGAGCTTTGTCAAGCTTCTCATGGGCTTCTATTAGCCTCTCATGAGTGGCACTTAGCTCATCAATGGATTGCTCAAGAAGTTTAACTTTCTTGCTCAATCCTTTGCACTCCTTTCTCTTCATCTCAAAGCAAGTGTGCACTTGCTCACACATGTCCATGAGCTCCTCCTTGGTGTACTCCTCATCATCATCATCACTCCTATAAGCATCACTTTTACATTTATCATCATCACTTACATCATATTTTACCTTGGTAGGCTTTGCCATGAGGCATATCGATGGAGTGTCGAAGATGGAGGGCTTGTTGTTGATGGCGATACTTGCTAGTGCCTTCTTGATAGATTTCTTGCCATCATCACTAGAACCATCACTATCCGAAGAGCCATCACTATCCCATGTGACCACATAGCCTCTACTCTTCTTCTTCTTTTGGAAGGTCATCCTCTTCTCCTTCTCCTTCTTTTCCTTCTTGTCCTTCTTGTGCTTTTTCTTCCCATCCTCATCATTGTCACTATTGTAGGGACAATCCGCTACAACATGATCGGGGCTCTTGCAATTGTAGCATCTTCTCATATATTCTTTGCTTTTGTTGTGATCTCTTCTCTTTCTTGCACCATAGCCCTTCTTTTTCATGAATTTGCACATCTTGCGCACAAAGAGAGTCATAGCTTCATCATCAATATCACTAAGATCATCATCATCACTTGATTCTTTCTTGGACTTGCCTTTGTTCTTAGATGATGAGCTAGCCTTGAATGCTACACTCTTCTTCTTCTTGTCTTCATCTTCCTTCTTGTCATCCTTGTCAACCCCTTCCCTTTCCATACGGTATCTCTCTTGTGTCATAACATCACCTAGTACTTGGTTAGGGGTAATCTCCTTCAATCCTCCTCTTATGATAGGCAATCTCAACGTCTCAAATCTTAGAGGTAAGCACATCAAGAACCACTGAGAGACATCATAATCATTGATCTTCTCTCCCAAAGCCTTCAAGTCATTGACAATCACTTGTAATCGATGGAATATCTTTGGAATGTTCTCATCTTCCTTCATCTTGAAGCTTATCAACTTGTCCTTGAGGATGTACAACTTGGCACTCTTCACCGCCGGTGTGCCCTCATATGTTTCCTCCAATCTCTTCCACACCTCATTAGCTCTCTCACAATCCTTGATTTGCTCAAACACCTTGGAATCAATGGCATTATATATGGTGTGGAGAGCCATTTTATTGCATTGCTTGTTGGTCTTGTCTTGGTTGGTGAGATTGTCGGGATCAATGATAGCATAGTCACTCTCGGTCACATCCCATACTTGATCATTGATTGAACCAAGATACATCCTCATCTTTCTCTTCCAATAATCATAGCATGTGCCATCAAAGAACAGTGGTTTGCCCCCCACATGGTTCAACACAACTTGAGCTATAATTTGACACCGAGGTTGTTAAGCCCTCAATCAAACGGTGACCACGGCTCTCATACCACTTGAAAGGTCCTAATATGGCTAGAGGAGGGGTGAATAGCCTATTAAAAATCTACAAACCAACTAGAACAATTTGATTAGTATGACAAATAGCGAAAAGCAAACTTGCTCTAGCTCTACAAGGGTTGCAAGCCACCTATCCAACAATTCTAGTTACTATGATCACTAGACACACAATTTACTAAGTCACTACTCACTAAGAGCTCTCACACTTGCTACACTAAAGAGCTCCACTAGATGAACTTAAGCTACAAAGCAAGCTCTCAATTCTAGCTACACTAAAGAGCTTACTACAACTAGTTTATGGGTATGTAAATGAGTAAGGTGATTATACCACCGTGTAGAGGAGTGAACCAATTACAAGATGAATACTAAATCAATCACCGAGAGAATACCAATGGGCAAAAGATAACCAATTTTTCTCCCGAGGTTCACGTGCTTGCCGGCACACTAGTCCCCATTGTGTCGACCAATACTTGGTGGTTCGGCGGCTAAGAGGTGTTGCACGAACCTCATCCACACAATTGGACACCGTAAGAACCTATCCACAAGTGAGGTAACTCAATGACACGAGCACTCCACTAGAGTTACCTTTCGGCGCTCTATCGGGGAAGGCACAAGACCCCTCCCAATCACCGTGATCGGAGCCGGAGACAATCACCAACCTCCGCTCGACGATCCTCGCTGCTCCAAGCCGTCTAGGTGGCGGCAACCACCAAAAGTAACAAGTGAATCCGACAGTAAAACACGAACACCAAGTGCCTCTTGATGCAATCACTCAAGCAATGCACTTAGATTCTCTCCCAATCTCACAAAGATAATGAATCAATGATGAAGATGAGTGGGAGGGCTTTAGCTAAGCTCACAAGGTTGTTATGTCAATGCAAATGGCCAAGAGAGTGAGCTAGAGCCAGCCAAACGATATTTATAGACACCCCCAACAATAGAGCTGTTGGCTCAATTATTGGGCTGACTGCAGGACGATCGGACTCGCAGGTCGTGTGCACCTGACGCGTCCGGTGTGGTGACCAGACGCGTCCGGTTGCAGCCTGACCGCCACGTGTCCTATTCAAATTGTTTGGCCATTCGCGCCCAACGGCTATCTCTGCGCACAGTAATACTAGTGACCGGACACGCTGTTAGAAAACGACCGGACGCGGGAGACGTAGCGTCCGGTTGAGTCCATAGAGCTCCCAGAGCTGCTCTGGGCCGACCGGACGCGTCCGGTCACACCGGACCGGACGCTCCCAGCGTCCGATCAATTATAGCGCTGACAACCTAAGTCTTGTAGGTTCACACCGGATGCGTCCGGTGTGGCGACCGGACATGTCCGATCGCTGCGTCCAGTCGAGTCTAGAGAGCTCCCAGAGTTGTTCAACCACGACCGGACACGTCCGGTGTGGCCGACCGGACACACCCCTGCGTCCGGTCCTCTCTGGACCAACACCTGCGCTCCATGTCACCTCGATCGGACGCTAAACAGTGATTGCTCAGCGTCCAGTCACTACTACGACCTAGAGTCCGGTCACCTCGTCAACTCTACCGTGCCTGGCCAGAATACCGGACGCATCCGGTATGGATATCGGACGCGTCCGGTCACGTCGGGAAGATATCGGACGCGTCTAGTCCTCACGTCGAACGCGTCCGGTCACCCCGTGACTAGCGCATTCAACTCCTTTTTAACTCTATCTTCTTTACCCTTGCTCAAATGTGCCAACCACCAAGTATATCACCTTGTCCACATGTGTTAGCATATTTTAACAAATGTTTTCAAGGGTGTTAGCACTTCGCTAGATCATAAATGCATATGCAATGAGTTAGAGCATCTAATGGCACTTTGATAACCGTATTTCAATATGAGTTTCACCCCTCTTAATAGTACGACTATCGATCCTAAATGTGATCACACTCTCTAAGTGTCTCGGTCACTAAACCGAAAAGCTCCTATCAATTTCACCTTTGCCTTGAGCTTTTTGTTTTTTTCTTTCTTCTTTTCCAAGTCCAAGCACTTGATCATCACCATGGCATCACCATCATCATGTCATGATCTTCATTTGCTTCACCACTTGGAATAGTGCTACCAATCTCATAATCACTTTGATAAACTAGGTTAGCACTTAGGGTTTCATCAATTCATCAAAACCAAACTAGGGCGTTCACTGTTGTGTGGAGGATTCTTCTGGTGGGCACAGACGGATCCTTGTATCTTATCGTTAGATGTTTATTTTAATTCCGTTGTTTAAATTCTGCACTCTGAACTTAAACTTAGTATTGTAATAATGTATTTCCGATAACTCTTGTTGTATGAAATTGACTAAGTATGGTAAACTCGTTCTCATTATTGGATTCTGGATGAAAAACGTGGATTGTTCGAGTTCTTCCTTGGGGTGTGCTCGACGGAACTGTCCGATGTAGCCAACTGTCGGGGTGCTTAGTGTCTAGCGGAAGACGAGCGCCTCCAAAATGTGTTATTTCAAACGGTTCTGCCACACGGTTGACTTAAGTCAACTGCCTTTGAAAATCGATTCTAAAAAATGATTTTCAGAGAGTCATTTATTTTTACAAATCACTGGCATAATAGTGGTTTTAAAACCGTCTCTGAAGATCACTTTTTACCGTCTCTAAAAATCTTTTATGTGCTAGTGATCTATGCTCAGACAATGTGTAAATAATATCTACTCTCTACCAACCGATCCCTGCTCCCCTCCCCATAGCGTTTTTTTAACTGAGCCCTTTTAGGGCATGTTTGTTTGATCTCAAAATAAGGGGGTTGCAGGGGATTGAGACGATTAAATCTTCTATAAGTCAAAATCCTCAAACAAACTCCTTCAATCAGTGCCAAACAAGAGAAACCGTGCCAAACAAAAAAAAAACAGCGGGAGGAGGTTACCTGTTTCCTATTCCACGAGCAAAGTTTCGAGTTGGAGGAGAAGTTTAAAGAGTTGTTTAAAATACTAAATTATTGAAGTCTTTTTTATTTTTACCAAAAGTTAAAATAGTTCATTCATCACAACGTCAAAGCTCCTAGAGGCAGCTCGTGTTGTACTTTTAAAAGTCTCCTGGTCCTCGTGATTGTACTTTTAAAAGTCAATAGCACCCTGCTTTGGTGTCGAATTTTTAGAGGCAGCTTAGCTATACGTATTTTGTACTAGCTAGTGCTATGCGCTTGACTGCTTGCATGCATTTCTGCTTCTCTAAAACCGGTCGTGCTTTCGGCATCTGAATCTCCTGTCCTTTCTTCCTCCATGTGAGTTTCATTCTTCCGAGGAGAAATAGGCATGCACGAATAGTAGAATCACATGCGAATCATGTCGCGGAGTACCATAAATTTATTCTCTCAATTTAGTACAAGGAAGAAAATAAGTAATAAGATTAACCTATATAAAGAGAGTCTAATCTAGGATCAGCTTCAATTCGTGCGCGAGTATTTCACAGCATCAACCGATCGGATCGACCATGGTCGAGGCAGCTGCTGAGCAGCTGGTCTGCGTAGCCGGAGCTGGAGGCTTCATCGGGTCATGGCTGGTCAAGGAGTTGGTCCAACGCGGCTAGAGGGACCCTGGTGAGTGAGCACGTACGCTAGCTGTGTCTATACATTTGTTTTTATAACGACACTCAAAACAATGTCTCGTCTTATGTATCTAAAGGAAAACAAAGATCAATACAAAAGATAGATTATAAGACACAAAACGATCTCTAAGAAATAAGAGTACATCAAAGACCAATATTTATTTACATACACGAACGAGTCCTCAACAATAAGAAGGACAAACATATTTACATTATTACTCTATCTGTTTGACAATATATAGCGTGCACTGGTGATGGAGCCGAAAATGCAATTTTTGTCCTTTTTAGTGGGGCCAGCTGTAAAAGTTTCTCTAGAGGCCCTTCAGTTTGGTTCTTACGAATGGAGAGAAATTGAAAAGTAATCTAATACTCCCGGTGTTTCAAATTATAAGTGATTCTAACTTTCTTGATAGTAAAAATATTTCAAGTTTGACCAAAATTATAGAAAAAATTATAAAGATCTATGACATCAATATGGAGGCTCTTGGCCCTTCCTCGCCACCCTCTGGCTCTGCTACTGGCACGCACCCAAGAACTTATCTAGGATTTTATTTTCTATCCTTAGATGTTATCTGCTATTCAGTATTATCATGGTGTGTTATTATTCCAGCAAATTGTTTATACATACAATTTTTTCTTTGTAAAAAAAATATACATACAATTTTTTATTTAGATGAATAATATCCTTTTGCTATATGCATGGTGCCAGAGGACCCCCAAGAATTCCCATCTGCTGGCACTGGATGGAGCTCAAGAACGTCTATCTCTGTACCATGCTGATGTGCTAGACTACATGTCACTTCGTCGTGCGTTCAGCTTATGTGATGGTGTCTTCCATGTTGCATCCCCGATATCGAATGATCCTGTCAGTAGTCTACTTTCTCCTATCTATACGCTGTTAAGCTTCCTTTTTGGATAGATAAATATATTCCAATTCAAGCGGCACATATATAATGCACAATGCAATAATGATGCATGCATGCAGGACCTTGTGCCGGTTGCTAGCTATTGAGGGAACAAAGAACATTATGAACGCTGCAGCAGACATAGGGGTGCAACGTGTGGTGTTCACCTCATGGAGCAGTCCATATGAACCCTAACAGGAACCCTGATCGGACTGTGGACGAGAGTTGTTGGAGTGACCTTGACTTCTGCAAGCAAACACAGGTCCACTACTTCTACTATTGTGAATAAAAGCCAATGCATTATTCAATTATTTTAATTTTTGCGGGGTAAACTAACCGTACCTTGGTGCCTTTAAAAAAACTTACCTTGGTGTTATCACATAAAACACTCCAAGGAAAAAAAATAGGAGACACTGAAGTGCAGCTAAATAAATATATATGGCGCATAAAAAATCACAAAATTTTTAAGTGGGACATGTCATTCTATACAATAAATATATAAGGCTCATAAAACCTCACACAAAATACAATTGTCATACATACTTAGCCACCTGACTCAATATGTTTAGCATGCATCATTTTTATTGACTTAGTATGTATGATCAAATTACAGAACTGGTATTGCTATGCGAAGACGGTTGTTGAGAAGACTGCAATGGAAGAGGCATCAAAGAGAGGGATACAACTAATAATAGTCATCCCATCAGTGACAATAGGCAGAATGCTACAACCAACATTAAACTTAACTTTATCCAGAGTCGCCACCTACATGAAGGGCACAAAGAAGGCATACTCGAACGCAGTTGGCGCATATGTCGATGTGCGGGACGTTGCCCTTGACCATATTTTGGTGTATGAAGATCTGAGCACGCATGGGTGGTACCTCTGCATAGGTGACATGCTACATCAATCAGAGTTTCTTCAAATGATGAGAGAGCTCTTCCCACAATACCCGATCACCACCAAGTAATTATATGTAATTCTTGTTATGATTTCAAATAGTACATCCTTTATTTGAAATGCAACGTTTGTCTAATTTATGCTATTATTTTAGAAATGTTTATGATCTCAAAACTAGCTGGTTAGCATTAAAACATGGTGTGGGGTTTCCTCACCCCCACCCACCCACCACCACCAAAATGTATCTAAAAATACTATCACCTGAGAAACTTAACTTCCTCCTCTTTCCCGCAAAGAATAGATATATACGTCATCGTTTAGTATTTGGCTTTGCGGATTTTAACTTTTCCTTTGTTTGTCTAACCATTTAATTAGATGCAAGGATGAAAACAAGCCAATGATCAAGCCTTACAAGTTCTCCACGCAAAGGCTCGGTGCTCTGGGTATGAAGTTCACTCCTTTGAAAGAGAGTTTATACAACACAGTGGTCAGCCTACAGGAGAATGGTCATATCCCAGTACTGCTACATAAGTCATCCCTCTGAGAAACAAGGATATAAAAAAAATGGATTTCAACAAGATGGTGGCAATGCCTTAGTTGGTATACTTGGACTATGTATGAACATGAAAAGACGATTCCTAAAGTGAATAGCCACTCAAATGGTTCAATAAATAAAGGCAAACTTGAAGCTGGTGTTCAATATATTTTTTTGAAAGCAATTGGTGTTCATATATTGTTCTTTTTTCGAAACGTATCCTTCAATATCAGTATATCACAATATAATGTCCAAGCACACGAGTACCCAATTTTTTTACAATTCAAACCAATAATAGTCAAATTTTCTTGTTAAAAAAACATACGACAAAGGTAATATGTTGTCACCAAGTGTTCTCACTTGGACCGGTTTAAGCACATTTCCTTGCTTTTGTCAAAATAATCAAAATCTAATCCACAGATAAATCGGTTCATGGATGACACCGTTGTGGGAAAGATCGTAATGCCAAAGGAATCATTGCCCCAAATCATAGGGGAAGGTCATAAGCACATATAGCATAAAATCAATTTTCAACAAAATAAAAGGTATATCCAGTAGAATTGTAACAATAGAATACGACCCTTATCAATATGCATGCATTTTCCTGATATGTTATGGGGATGGCGAGAAGAGATATTTTACATGATTTCATACCAGAGTTACTATAACTAGACATACTATTGCTTCTCGTACAAAAGACCCTACATTAATGAAAAATACCCTACCTTTGAGTCCAAGCTTTGTCTTGGATACAACTGATCATGAGATTTTTTTTATCATTGCTTAAAGATACCAAGAGGTTCAAAAAGAAAAGAAAATTGCTAGAAGATGTACTAAAAGCACAGATTATTATGCAATTCTTATAGATGAGATCTTCTCTGTTCTTCATGTTACTCAAAGGATCGCTATTTAAATGCTCAGAATTCCAATACAAGGAAGCATTGTCCAAGGCACGAAGCTGTTGTCTGTGTTCAGGCGACTAGCTAGGCTCATGAAAAAAAGTAAAGGCCATCTCATCTCCCTCAATTATTTATAAGTCCAATTTGCCTCCCTCAATCAGGAAACTAGATTTTTAGACTCATCTAACATTTGAAACCATCCAATTAATTTACCTCTATGAATAGTTTTGAAGCGGTTTTGGTTGATATGATGCCACGTTAGTCGTCCTGAGCATGTCTGACATCCTGAGCATGTCTAAACTGTCTTTCTGCTCGATCATGTGCTTTGGGTAAGTACGCAAACCTACGATGATGACATCGCATCCATCTAGATGTTGCTTGCTAAGTCGCAGACGTTGGATTGAGAATCTAAGAAGTCGCATGTCGGCTGCTGCTGATGTTCCAATGAGTCTGCTCAAGTCATCGTCGTGTGATGTCCTCTGGAGAGGATAGTGTTGCTACAAAGTTAAACCACATGGTACATGTTGTTAATATGTAATCAGAACTTGAATAATTTTTTTGTTTTAAATTTTTCGTGCATGTCTCGACATATAAGCAATGCATTTGTTGGGCTGGGAAAAGCAGTTTGCATAGCAGGTTGTCGAATCCTCACATCCTAGTCCTCAGCACCGACGACAACCGTGTGACACAATATAGATGGATTGTGGAGCGTGGGCTAACTGAAAGTCTAGCTCACCGTCGCCCCCTATCGTCTTCCCCACCGAGCCCACCCGTCCAGCATGTCCACGAATCTTCTCCAAGCTCCTCGGACTACATCTACATGCATGTCCATTCCAGATTTCTACCCTGGTTCCAGATACCAGGTTCAGTGATGGCCTGATGGGATGACTGAAATTGAAAGACACACGGAAGGCCACCTACGTCACCACAAGTGCGTGATGACCTCGCAGTCGTTGCTAGCCCTGAACATGTGTCCGGTGGCGGACAGCCAGCCTCTGAGGTCTTGTTGGATGTAGATCTTGCTGCTGACCCGGACGATGACGGAGATGAACGGACTGTTCCTTGCTAATTGTCGGCCGGGTCGATGATGGCAAGGCTCTGGTTGGAGAGGTAGCAGCCGACCACTTGCCGCATGCCGATCATCTCGTGGCGCAGAAATGTTAGCAACCTCAATCACTTCTCCAATAGCAAGCAGCAAGCAGGGGAGTAGGTGCTAGAGGAAAGACACTAGGAGGTTCTAGAAGATACAAGAAGATACTAGAAGCAAGAGATCTGGGTACATGAGAGGACTAGAAGAGAAAGAGGAACAGTAGACTAGAGAAGAGATGTGTGTCCTGAATAATCTTCCCCCTCTTTGATGCGCCTAGTAGTGCTGCTACTTTTGTATTTGTACTTGGGCCTTGTCGAGAGCAACTGCTGGCCGAGATGTATGTCTGTTGCCTGAAGGAAATAATCTTCCCCCTCCTCGATGCTCCACTGCTGCTACTTTTTTTTTTTAAGAATTACATTACAACGTAGACATCCACAACACGCACGCACACTTATCCCTATGAACACACGTACGCAAACTCTACCTCTATGAGCACCTCCGAAGGACTGAGCCGCCAGATCTCGAGATTCACGAAGTCACCACAGGCGCCTCGCTGTCGACGGGGACATCACTTATCACTGAAAACATAGCGCCGTTAAATCCTGAAATAAATCCAAATAAATACGAGCACCCGTGCCAAATCGAGGACTTAAACCTGAATGAGCAGGTTCTACCACAAGGAGCCTAACCGATGTATTGTATTTGGGCCGCGATTGGAACCGGCAGAGGGTGGGCAGGTGGGTCACGTTGAAAAAGTCCTCCCCCAAACCAAACACATGTTACAACTTCAATGCAGTACGAAGGCATTAACACTCTGAGAAGTGAAGATCTTCAAAATTTTGATCAGAGCTAGAGACGAATTTTAGGCCCCGTTTGGCACGGCTCCGCTTCACCCATAAAGCCCTTTTTTTGAGCTTCAGTTCCATGAACAGTTCTATGGGTGGAGCTGTAGCTGTTTTGATAAATCGTTTAGCAAAAAAACTTCACATATAGTTTTTTTTAAAATATACTCTCAGAGAACGCCATGTAGAATAAGGTGAAACCGAGAGAAGCCACTATTTTTGGCTCCTTCCCACCCCAAAGCTCTATGAGAACACGTTTTTAGGGGCTTCATCGGTGGAGCCGTTTTATTTTACCCGTTTGGCAGAAAATGGCTCCAAGCGGCTCCTGAAGCCGCTAGAGAAGCCCTGCCATTTAGATCATATATTTGTATGGTGACACTCGCAACCGCATTTGACATAAAAATAGCTCAGAAGCCTATAATGGCTCCTTGAGATTTTTCTTATACATACATATCAGAACTTGCTAAAGAACTCGCAGATGTGATCAGAGACCTCGTTAGGCTTCTCCTGGTTGATGAAGTGGCTCACTCCCTCCATAATAACCACGTCCTCTAGATTTGGCACGCTTGCCTTGAAGCCACCCTTGTGAATGTAGTCTTGTACCCCCGGGGCGTTGTATGTAATGTCTAGGTCCCCAACAATGAATTTCGACGGTACTTTTATCAGAGCTCCAGTCCATGGTGCAGAAAGCTCCCAACTCCTGCATGAACACAAGATGGATCTCGTGAGACCTTACAAATGCCTCTGTCAGCTCTAAATAAAGCCTTTGTACATAAAGATTGAATTTACATTGATTGGCACCAAATGAAATCTAGTTCAGAACGTACAACTTATATCTGTCATTAATTCCTCTCATTTTCAAACATTATACTAGCTCCGTCTCAGAAAACTTGAGATTCTAGTTATTCTATAAGACTTTTAAGTCAAACTATCTTACATTTAACCAAGTCTAAGACAATATTTATATCACCAAATAAGTATGACACGGAACATGTTTTCATATTATACCTACTTGGTGTTCTAAATGTTGACAATCTTCTCTATATATAAGATTGGTCAAACTTGAAAAGTTTTGCTTCAGACAAAGCTAAAACGGCATGTTTCTTGGAACAGAGGTAGTATAAGCGACCCCCACCCCACACACACCCAAGCCCCGTGAAAAAAGGTGTAAATTCAAAATGAAATCAACTTGAACATTTGAAAGAACAACACAACAGTAAAATCATAAAGGTACGAACTACAGTATCAAATAAATAGCATTGGTCTAATCAAACATAAACTGAGAGTTTCAGTTATCCCATGGCAAATACAAAATGGGAAATTGTTGAATAGCAAATGGTTGATAGCATCAATAAAGAAGTAAATTGGAAAATCAAAATTGTTGACTGACCATAAGACACATACCTGTCCATGCATCTGTAGTAGTTAAGTCCTCCAGTAAAGCCTGTTTTCGCAAATTTTTCAGCATAGTAGGAAATATCTTCCTCTGATAGCCATGGAGGACAAGTTCCATCTGAATCAAGAGAGTCAAAGAAGCTCTTGTCCTTAGGTAGAATAAGAGGAGCTGGCTTGCGCATGCAGATGTCTTCTTAAACACATACTTGATGTCGTATAGAGCGAATTCAGCTTCAGCAACACCAGGTTCCTGTATGCATCCTTATGTAATTCAAGTGTGCAGCATTTTTCAAAAAAGAAAAAAACATGTCTAAAGGGACATTGATATGCACAAAATATATCATATATATAGAATTAAAAATAGCTAGCTCCACACAACCACGCTATGGAACTGCGAGAAAGTAGATGATTTCAATATAATGACATCCAAGAGTTATTATTCCCTTGAAGATTTAAATCAACTAAAATCAGTGAGACAATCTGAATAGTTAGGTAAGTTTTACAGCTCTAAAAGACCTGGTGCTGCATGCTGATGTTCATTAATAGAGCTCCAAAGAAAACCTGATATTTCCTCTTCCAATAAACTATGCTTTTGTATGGACCCTTGCACAAAACTTTTTTTCCCCTCCAACACATAGAAGAGCTGTGTATCATTATATTAAGAAGAAACCTTACACATAACTGTTACTGTGTTGATATTAATTTGTTGTAGTGAAACCTATTCTCTAAAAAAAGAAATCACGGGACTAATAAGTATTCAAGTTTCTATCAAATGAGCTGCTA